AAAATCAAGACAAAAAGGTGGAGGGTTTTTTAAACAAACATAAGCATATTTAATAAACAGAAGCAATAGCTTGAGTGGCACCCACACACTGTGTGAAGCAAGCATTTTCAACAGTTCTATGTTTTTATGTTTGTATATGCTATTCTTTAAGACAGGCAAATGGTGCACAGCTGACTGTATAATGAGAAGCTATATATAAATTATATTAACCTTTAAAGTTAGGCAAGCACTTTACATACACAATCCATGATTTCAAGCATTTTTTATCTAAAAGTGCAATAATGCATTACTTCCTCATTGCTCAAGAGCTTTACAGTGTATTACCTGAGGAAATAAGAATCTAAGTAATCTTAAAGATGTGTACTCTCTTTCTGGTGTGTAATTAAAATAATGCATAAAAAAGCTATTTACATTTTTTTTAAAGTACAAATCTATTTAAACTAATTGACTGATCCAATATATACAAATGAATATTTCAGAAAAGAGATAGAGAATATATTTTTATGATCACAATGGTGAAACCTCCATGTCTGGGAACATTCAAGTTTAAGCTGGATGAAGCTCTGAGCAGCCTGTTCTGGTTGCTCATTGCAGGAGGGTGGGACTGGCTGACCTTCAAAGGTCCTTCCCAACTCAAACAATTCTATGTTTCTACAATTCTAGATAGCAACACATGACACATTGGCACACGTCTTTTGCATGTCTGAGTGAAAGCAAGAGGTACTTTACGTACATAAGTGATTACAGGCTTTTGGATTAAAAGTAACAATTCTTTAAAATATCTGAGGGGACCAAAAGTACAAAAGGTGCACAAAAGGAAATCTGAGCAGCAACTGGTTTATCTTAGGAAGGGCAAATGCTTTGCTAAAATAACTCAACTAGAACCTTTTTGGTTTATAATCCCATCTGTGTGAGTTTGTTAGTGACCTCAGTGTAATCTTGTCAGCAAAAAGAAAAGTTCAATGCATTATTAAAAAGAAATCATTTGGAGGCAGATTTTATCAGCAGTGTGATGCCTTTCAATCAGAAGTTCATGAGACAAAACCTTTGAGCCACTACAAATCTGGCCAGCAACCTATTAAGTTTTCAGTAAAATTATCTATGAACAGATTGTCTTGTACCAATTCTGAGCAGAAGACTGAATGAATGTTTTACATATGAAACATGCAGAGAAAACAAATAATATTCTCTTCATGTTTCTGATTTGGCAAATCTGGGTGATAGATCTTTTTTTGTATAAAAGAGGAAAACAGTCAGATTGGAGCTTCATGGATGGGCTCTTGTGTGAATTTAGGGTATAAAATGCAAGTGGGCCAACAAATCATTTGGGAGAAAATGACAGCTTTTGGTTTTTCATCCAGTGAACTAGAAAGTCAAATTTTACGTAGAAAGGTGCTAGTATAAAGATTTGTGAGCCTTTGGAGTAAAAAGAAGGATGAGAGAGATTAGAACCAAGAATACATATCTGATCCTTTAACATAGTGTAAGACTCCTAAAAAGTGCTCTGCCTTTCCTAAACCTTGCAATATTTAGGAACTCCTTTATTTGATATGCAAGCATATCTTTCCCTTTTTCTAATCCTGCATCAATTTCCATACTCACCTGTAAATGTTATCTTGCTCTGTCATGAATGTTCCAAAATCTTTCTGTTTTGTTTTTGTTTTCTTGGGATTTTGATTTGTTTGGTTTTTTGTGGTTTTTTTTTTTTTTTTTTTTTTGGGTTTTTTTTTTTTTGGTTTTTTTTGGTTTTTTTTTTTTTTGTTTGTTGTTTTTTTTTTTTTTAATCAAGATACTGGTATAAGAATTATAGTTTGGAAATCATCTCATTGTATTCTGTATTATTCTTTTCAAGGATCAAGCTCCATGAGATGAGCAGCATTCCACTATCTTACTTCAGCCCTTCTTAAAAACTTTTTTTTTTAAATGCCACAAGTCCATGGGAGGGATGGGTGGTGGAAGGTGTCAAGGGATGCCAGGCAGGAGGTTGTTCATGTTCTCCTGCTCAAAGTTTCACTGATCTTTTAGGAACTATAAAATAAAAGAATGATACTTTCCATCTTCCCTCAATGCAGAATGTGAATAACTTTGATGGTATAAGGTAAGACAGTGTCTGCTGTCCCTTGCCCTTTCAGAAGGCAGGAGAGAAGAAGAGAAGTTCATCCAGGAGTTAAAGTATAAATATAGAGTTCAAAAACCTGAGATAAAACATATCTTAAGAGACAGCAATGTAGGTAAAAAAAAAAAAAACAAGAACCAAAATTTTGTTATGAGAAAACATTTACCAAAGCTCAAGGTCTTAACTTAGGGAAAAATTATTTCAAGTAAATAAACTGACCAATAGATCTGGACAAAGGAAGCTAAATTCAGCGTAGAAAAACATCAGTTAAAGTATTTTGGAAGACACTTATTTATCCATTTTCATATACATACAATGTAACAGTTTCTCACACGTACCTATGATAGAATCTAAATTTAAACTGCTCAGCAAGATATGGGCAGTGCTCTGAGCACTGTAAAGCAAGTATTTGTTGAATGAGCAATGAATTAGAAAAGAAACTGGAGGGAAAATTTCTAAATTAGTGGGATAACTGAGACACTCCTTCTTCACAATGCAAACAACTTGCTCCTGCTTTGTACTGGATTGAGGCCATGCTATGTTCAATTTGGAATCATTAACGTTCCAATTTAGACCAGCATTGAAGTCAGAGGGCAGAACAGGACAAGGTTCTGAATTTTCAGCTACACATAGGGCTCTACAAATCTTAAAAAAAATTATTGGCTTACCTCAAGAGCCTGATAAAATGCATTACTAAAAGATGACAAGAACTGGATGTTAATGTTCCTTCTCCTTCAGAGGAATGAAAATCAGGAGGAACAATAAAAGGATGCACAGCTTTTAACAGCAAGCTTTTCTGTATTTGTTTGTGTTCTTGTTTTATTTCTATTAATGTAGTTTGGGTCCATATTGAAGGTAACATCTAAAGAGTCAAACATTCCTGTCTTTAAAGAATGATGAAAGAGATGAAACCCTCATCTGCCAAATGGGCTCTAAAGTAGATACTTCAGAAATCTTTTCAACAGTAGATTGTCTCTGTGTGCTATTCATTCAATTTATTTGCAAAACTTAATTGCAAAATCTTATATGTTACATATAAAAAGAAGTTCTCTAGCTAGATTAAAGGAAAACATTGCACGGAATGTAATAAAAAACTTGTACTTGACATGGACTGCACCTGGTGGTCAAGAGAAGATTGAAAATAAAGGAGATTTCTTTCAGCATTTACAATTCATAATGCCAGTGAACTCTAGCTACAAGAGAAAACCAAGTTTCTCTAGTGGTACTCAAGGAAAGCCAAGATTCTGAACCAACCATGAAGCTCTGACTTCTAATCTAGTTACCAAGTATGTCCTTCTCTCTTGCCCTTCTGAAGAAGCTGGTCGATGTTTATGCTGCATTTATCAAAGAGCTTATTGTAGCTTTCATAACAGTCTTATGACTGTTTTGAATACATTAGGAAAATAAATCTTGGAAAAGTTCAGAAACTTTTTGTATAAGAATGTTTTCATTACCAAATGATGCCGAAAGACCACATTAGAAATATTATATTTCAAAAATCTAGGAGAACAATCACAGAACACAGACCAGACCCTCTAGATCTGGAAATGGGTACATTCATATTTGTTCTTAAAAACATCAATAAATCAAACTCATTAACATGAGAAATTAAATCAATGAACTACTACATTCTATCACAGCACAGTTTTGCACAGAACTATCAAAGTATTGAGACAAATTTTAATGAAATAATATTAAGTTGAATAATGTAGTTTACAGTAACTTTCATCTATATTTTGCAAGTAATAAGAAATATATGAGAATTTACCTTCGGAAAATTTTTAACAATGTTCATATGAATAAAAATAAAAAAGGTACCGAAAGGAAACAAGTATCAATAACATACATTTTCCTTTGTAGCACCACTTGAAGCAAAACCTTGGCATTAGCACATTATAATTTCAGTGAAGGAAAATTATAAGTGCTAGTTACCTGGCACTTTTAAAGCATATATAAATTCACTGTAGATCAACAGTAAAAAAGTTATTTAAACATTCATAGTGCCAAAAGAAAAAAATCATTAAGTAGACCAAAGCTTGTCTTTAAAATAAACCCTCAAGATTATAGTACATTAAGAAAGTGCTTTATCCAAAAATCATCAAGATTAGAAGATTCAAGAAGGGAAAACATCACTGTCTACAAATTTTATACCTCATTTATGAGACCAAATGAAATATCACAACTATCTATACAATCATACACATGTAGTAGCATAGATAAAGTTTAACCTCATTTAAGTGTAATTAATTGTTAAGCAGGTAAGAACAAAGATTTAGCCCACATTTTTCAACATAGCTGTAAGAATTTAGACCACAAAAGAATAAGGTGATTCTATGTTTCAATATTTACTGAAGATTTTAAGCGTGCCACAGGTTTAATGATGAAACTACTGATTCTAATAGAGACAATTTTGCTCCTTTGAGGGGAGGCTCAGATTGGATATTAGGAAACATTTATTTACAGTGAAGGTGGTCAAACAGTGGAACAGACTTCCTTGCAAGTGCCTCAACCTCATCACTGTACAAGAAATTATTATTTATTTGGACAATACTCTTAATAATATGGTTTAACCTTTGGTCAGCCCTGAAGTGGTCAGGCTGAATAATTCTTTGTAGGATCCTTTCTACTGAAATATTCTACTCAATTCTATTCTAATATGCCACCATAAGGAAATTTTACCTTTCTGCAGCCTAGTGCTGTAATTCCTTTAATTTTTGTTAGGAGAAAGAAATAAATTTTTTTTCTTCAACATAAAAAAGTCAAGGATATAAAATGGGTATTTAAATTGCATATACAGGAGAAAGGGGAGGAGTGATTGTACATCAAAGTTCTCAACTTATTCTGAAAGATAAAGCTACTACAATAATCTTAAAGTTATTCATACCTCTCTCCGTCGAGAAGCCCAACAGGTTTGTTTGATTTTCCAAACGACAGCAGCTACCAGCAGTAAGGATAAGAAACAACTGCAATTACAAAAGAAAAAAAAAATAAGAATTGTAACTTCTGAAAAGCTTATGTCTTTAGGGTATCACAGGTAACAAAAAGGCATTCTAGCATGGAAAAATAAACCCCAAAAATTGGGGAAAACAAAACTCTACCAGAATTACGGAGTCAACCATCCACTTTCAAAGTCAAAAGCAAATGCACATCACTTGCTCTGGTTTTCTCCTGGAAATGTTCCCATTAGAATGGGATAAGCTTCAATACAACCCTCCACATACCCACAACAGTCTCAACAAATATGCACTGCCTGGCCCACGTTCAGTAGATGGAAAAAGAGGATGAAGTATAGCAAAAAAAAAAAAAAAATTATAGCAATTTATATTTCTTTCACTTTGTAAATTCTGAGTAATTTCCTGGGATGCAGGCAGGGTAACCACACAAGGAATATAATTAGTTTGAGGAGCTGGGTTTGCACAGTGACAATAGGCCTGTGTTATCTTATTGAGTATTTCCATGGGTAATTGCCCAGGGAAAACATCTCCAAGGACATCACCACATTACAGTTCCAAAGACACAACAGAAGAAGAAAAAAAAAGAAAATTAAACACCTGCAGTGCACAATCAGAGCATACACCTTCTCTCATGTTTCAGTATCTTTGTATTGTAACATTTAATCCATAAAGTATTTTAGTAGAAAGATCATTGAACTCAACCACTTTTAGTGCGTTTCTGGATATTGAAAAAAGGCTTCTCAAGTTGGCACTTGTAATTACTCAGAAGATCTTTCAAATTTTTAGACAGTTTTTTAATATAAGTATCTGGATTTACTAATTGTGTGAAGAACTTTCATACCATGTTAGCTCTTCTACCATACAAAGTGGTTTCAATTAATCTAGTACCAACTACTGAATTAACTACTAGTCATCTATTACATTTTTCTTTTCTGCCAAAAAAGCTTCAAAATAAATTCTTTAATACAGGGAATAGGAAGATTTCTGGAAGTAGAATAGTTCAGAGTAGTGTGCATAGGTGTAAAGTAACACCAATGTCTTCCTTTAAAAGCAAGTACAAGTGACTGTAAATTCACAATTGGTTGTCTAGAGAATAGCAGGACTAAAAAAACCCCACTGACCACCAGAATAAATTCAGTTTTGCAGCAACATCTTTAAGGTTTTTAAATCAAGAAGGACTTATAAATAATATTTCCCAGAAATGTTTCCCCTCCTCTACACTGCACTGTCCAGCTGGTACCTGGAACAGATGTTTTAGGGCAGCATCAGGGAACTGATGTGCTGCTAGGGATTGGGATGCTGTGCATGAGCTAAGGGAAAGCCATCTCACTCTTCTCCTCCTCTACAGTCCTTCCAAAATCCACTAAATTAGAGAAACAACAGCAACTCTGTTTGCAATTTTTAGCTCAGTGCTCCTGGAATTTAGAAAAGGTTAATACATGCAAGGGAGCTGGACATAAGAAATTAAGAGAGCCTTGCACTGTGTGACTGATTTATTATGGCCAGCAAGAGAATCTCTGCCCTTAGAAAATTCTGTCCTTCATATTTTTTAATTTCTTGAACAGTTTTCTTAAGTTAGCAGAATAAAAAATATTCAGCGTTCTGGCTGAAAGACTTCAGACAAATGGATTCTGTGCTCTGTACGTCAGTGGAGTGGGTCACACTGAATTTTCTTGTCATCAGTCAAAACATCAACTGCTTGCAAAGCTAAAATCAGAAATTAAACAATTATAAACAATTGGAAGTTACAACATTGATAATGTGACTTTTGTATAATCTTGGCAAGTAAATACTCTATTTTTTCCTCTTTTTTTTTTTTTTTAAGAGGGTGGTTTCTCGGGGGGTGAATCAAAATTCGTGCTAAAGAATGAAAGAAAGAGATGAAAAGGAAAGAGATGGAAAGAGAAGGAAGAAAGAGATGGAAAATAGATTTTATGAAATTAACCTAGTTCCAAGATGTGGTGAGATAACATCCTTGCTTTATGTAGGGCAATAAAAATTAAAGCTGACTGCAAAGGATCTCACAATACAGAGTGACTTGGCAATAAAATAAGAGAATGAAATTCAGTGACAATGAACTGAAGGCAATGTGCACAAGAAAAAAACAAAACACCACAACTAGCTACAAATGCACAATGATAGGTTCTAAATTAGCAATTACCACTCAAGAGAATGATCTTGAAGTCATTGCAGATAGTTCTTTGAACATATCAACTGAATGTTTAGTAGCAGTCAAAACAGAAAATAGAATGTTGAAAGAGATTAGAAAAGGAATAAAGAACAAACCAGAAAGCATTGGGATGTCAGTGCATAAATCTATAGTGTGCCTGTACCTTGAAGCAACCATCACCTTATCGCTAAAAATCTAAGCTGAATTTAAAAGGTATAAAAGAAAGCAGGCAGCTTGGTCAGGGGACTGAAATGGTAGAAGAAGTAAGTTCTCTTTGGCTTTGAAACAATAGGGATTTGAAGAGAGACATGATAAAGACATTAACATCACAGGCAAAAGAATGTAAAAAACCAGCAGAACGGGTGTAGGTGGATGCTCTCCAGTCCCCCATTAAACTTCTTATCTCCTCCTTGTGACAGAGATATAAAAACAGAAAGTCCAGTGCAAATTAAATGAATTAAAAATTGGCCATCGGGAAAAAAAAAAAAAAAAAAAAAAAAAAAAAAAAAAAAAAAAAAAAGAAACTGTCAGCAGAGGACCAACATCAAAAAAGGGAACTTCTAGATGGGTTACAAAGCTCCCATCAGATCCACTTACTTTTGATGGGACAAATATATAATAGCTGAGAGGTCTATGCATGACACGAAGACAAAAGTGGTAAATAATGGTTAATGGCACAGAGGTAAAGAGATTGTACAATGGTCAACTTTAAGATTTTTTTTTAATATACAATCATTGCTAAGTTGTATTTATGAGAACAAGGAAGTCACACATCATTTACATTGCAAAGGATTTATTTTTCCCTTGGAATGAAGCAGTTCCCAAACCAGCTTAGAGACCAGTGTGAATGACAATTTAGTATGAATTACTGCTGGGATGCTGAAATAGAAGGAGTTAAAACAACCTCAAATACTCAGATGCACAGTAGTAAGCAGCACTTGAGAGATAAATTTATCACTCTACAAGGTACTGCCCAAACAGATACTATCAGACTTGTTCCTAAAGCTCTGCCATTGGCATTTTCTGAAAGGAGATTGGAAAACATGGAAAGAATGCAGAGAAAAATCACAAAAAGTATTCAAAATTTGGACAAAATCTTTTGCTGGCAGTGACTTTACAAATAAATCATTTCACTTTTGGAAAAGATCAAGTGGCAACTTGCCTGCAGTTTATCCACAAGATCATAGATTATGTCCACCATGTCTGACTCTCCAATTGAGACTGAGTGACGTCCAAATCAACAGATATTTGGATAAATGCCTTTGCAAAGCACATGGGTTATGAAATGATAACCCCAAGTACAGAGTGAATGACTTTCTGCACTTAACACTGTAAATCTTCCCAATAAGACAATTGCCATACTAAGACACTGTTAAAACCACAGCAGTTCAAGCATTACCAAAGTTTTGTGCTCTCCAGAGCAAAGAAATAAAGTGCCAGAAGACAAGAATACAGCTTTGCACAGTTTTCCCTTCAAACCACGTGGAACAAAACAGGAGGAAACACTAAAGAAGCATGCTTGAAAATGAGCAAACCATCACCAGCACTCTGGATTACAGGTTGGTTGGAAGTTATTGCCCTAGCTTGATTTTGGAGACAATAAACAATTGGAAAACCAATGAACTGCAGAGGAAGAAGCCTTGAACACAGTTTGTGTCCAGCACAGCAGAGGAAAGTGGTCAAGGAAAGGTTGCAAGAAAACACCAGGGCTAGCAGGGAGGTCTGGGCTATGCAGATGCTCTGCCCAGAAGGCTCTGGGTAATATGAAAACAGAAATAGTGATTTAATAGAACAAAGAGAAGGGAAATTGCAAGGAATAATTACTGCCTGCATATCTATTTTTGCAAGCTACAGAGTAAATTTTTTACTTTCACAGGTCACATTCAGGCAAATTTAGTGCAGACCTGGCTGAGGAAATGAAAGTGTTTTCCATTACTCAGAAATTAGTTTCTCTGTGTTTCTTTAGGCAGCAAAATAAAAAGTGTTAGGGGAATTAGTGGATGTGTTTCTGCTTGGCATGGGCAAACTGAAATAAAATGTGTAGATATCCTTAAATTTAAATGGCATGGATAAATAGAGGGGGAAATCTGTGAAATGTAATGATCAGCATGTTTAGACTAGATGAATTAATGACACATTTATGCCTTAAGCTCTATGAGTGCATTATAAATACACTACAGAATTCCTTTTTTTCATTATGTATTAATGCCTATAAGTTACATATTGTATCAAAGTAATACTTTAGTTAAAGTGAAATAATTTACTTATTTTTGCAGGGATGAACTGTTTCATGAACTAAATATTTTAAGAATCAATACTGTAAATAGAAGGTAAACAAAACAAAATGTGCCATCCTTTGTTGTTTCTTTTTTTCATTCTCTGATCATTTAACATACAAAGAGAATAACTGTTGTTACTTATGACAGTAATTTGCACAATAATTCAAAATAAATTTCCACAAACCGAGGAAAGCAAACACTTTTACAAAACTTTAACTTGCATCTAGTATACTTTTAAGTCTACTAAAATGAAAAATGTCGTGAGATTGTACTTTGAGCACCTATCACATTTACTCTTCTTACAGGACAAGGCGATGCAGCAGCCCACAGCTGAGCGTGGGGCCGCATCCCTGGCTGGGCTCACCCTGGGAGCAGCACAGCTGGGCCAGCACAGGGTGTCAAGACTGCTCTTCCAACTGCCATCCTCCTGTCCCCATGCTCCAACACGTGACAGACCCATCCTTGTGTCCCAAGGAGAACTCCTGCACTGCTGGCTTAGTGTGGATCTGGAATGGGCTTTTGAACCAACCCCTGAATGCCCCCGTGGAGCAGCCCTGGAG